TCCATTTTTTTTCTAATCCAAATGATTATTCGATAATTCAATGCAGTTTCGAGAGCTGAAAATCGATTAAATTTTATTTTTTTAAAAAGAAAATTTCCACAAAAAAAATTTAGTATTTCAAAGAGAAATTAAAAAACAAAAAAAAAAAAGTTTAATAAATTGAATACCACAATGTGACACCGGTGCGGCACAATTGTACATAACCAATTAATGTAGCACCGTTGATACCATGAAGTGGTATCGCAAAGTTTGAGCATCTTTGTGCATTGCGTGAAATATGTCGTACGTTCTTGAGATTATCTATGTTTACGATTATGATTTCGAGATGAACGTGAAAGTGTATCAGTGCTAGTGCTGAATGAACGTGAACGACGTTAACGATGACGTCTGAAACGATATATGAACGCTATTTGTGTCATCATGCATTATCCGATATGATTTTCTTTGACTGGAAACAGAGGACAATTGAGAAAAACTGATGTAAAAATGATTCATCAAACTTAAATTAACTGTCACTTATTCCGTTTTGAAATAATTTTATTTCTGGAAGTTTTCATTAATAAAATCTCAAAGCTTGCATTTGCATATAAGCACTAAAAATTAATTTTGTTTCTAAACACTTAATTAAAATAATTAATGTTAGAATACTATGGGGTTATGAATCAGAAATTAATTGAAAATCATGATTCTCGTTATTTACCAAATGGAATTTTTGATGAAAATGTACGGGTATTTATTAATATTCGTCTAATGAAGACGAAAATCGCACAGTACTAAACATAAAACTTTGCGCTGAATTCTACGTCTCACATGCGGAATACGACGTACTGTCCGTAATCATTGCGCACGTACTACTAAAACCATCTCAATTTCCTCCTACAAAGCAACCAAAAAAGAGAAAGATCGACCATCAAATAATTGTAAAACGAAAATGACCCTTATGATTTCATAAATTACTTTAAGTATCTTTTTTTTTTTTTTAAAGAAATTATTAATTTTAATACTCATATTTTAATGCAAACGTTTGTTGGATATTCAAATTTTAGACTACATAAACATTTTTTATTTTATTTTGACAAAAATAAAAACGAAAACCTTTAATTTGTACTGATTATTTTGATTTTACTTTAATATTTGATATATTAATTATGATCGATTTTCTTACTCATTTAAATTTCAATCTTTAATTTGCAAATTATTTGCTGGCATTTACTAAACATATGAATGTATATGAATTTTTTTTTTTTTTCATATAACTGTTTACATTTCAATCTTAAAATTTCTTCATGAATTTTTTATCACAATTTCATAAATCATTTTTAGTCCATATGAAAATTTTCTAGTTTTTATCATACACATTTCTTCGTTCCTTACATTTGTTAAAAGAAAAATAATCATAATAATAATAAAAAAGATGAAATATCTATTTTAAAAACTGTCATTCAGTCTGATTACAATGAATTAAATAACTGATGATAAATATCATTTCGAATGATAAATTTGAGTGACAATTATTTGAAATTACTGCTTTTTTTTTATTTTCAATTATGCAAATGTAAAACCAAATGAACGATAAGTATTGTATATTTTTTCAATAGCTGTTGCATAAGCAGCGGTACGTATATCCAAGCCAAGATTGTATTTTTCTATCGTTCTTATGATATCGTGAGCTGAAAAAAAATGAATGATTTAGTATAATAAACGAATTTAATTTAAAAAATAAATGACTTAGCACAAATGAATTAATTTTAAAGAAGTAAAATTGAAAATTAGAAGTATTGCAAAGAATTAGAGACCGATAATGGTTGATAAAAAATTTAATTTTCAACCGATAACGGTTGAAAATTAAAGGAAGTTAAATTTACAAAATGTATTTTAAATCTGCAAGAAAAAAGTGCAAAATTCATTCCTCATTTTTTGATCATTTTAAAATATGGAAACATACAATGATTCAATTTTTTAAAATCAAATAAAATTTTGAAATTCATTCATCAGGCAGAAAAATAGAAAAATAAAAGGAATTTTTTGAATTGAAAATTTCATTGCATACCCGATTTCTGCATGCTAAATTCCAAACCGGAATAGACGATTTCTTCTTCAGATTTATGATTGATTCGACTTTTCAATCCTTCTGATGGTTCAATTTTAATATCTCTCCCAAATTCACGATATAATGATTCCTGGACACTTGCTGTAAAAAATTTGTTGATCTGTTAATTAAAAAAATTTATTATTATTAAAAATTTGTTAAATAGCGGTTGTTAACAACTAATTTATCAAACAATCTGAAACTAATTTTACAGTAAGTTAAAATTTACAATACAAAAAAAAAACCAAAAAAAAAACGCAGAAAAAAACAAATGAATAAATGTTGGATGAATTTTTACCGAGTAAATCATAACCAGAATCGATTTCATGCTTTGATGTAAGTCGACCAAAACTGACATGATTTAAATTTTTTAACCATTCAAAAAATGATACCGTAACACCACCACTATTGATAAATAAATCCGGAATGAGAATGCAATCATTACGAGCTAATAAAATTTTATCAGCTGCCGGTGTTACTGGGCCATTTGCTGCTTCCACGATAACCTATATCAAAAAAAATTTTTTTTTTCTTATTAGTTCAATTTTTACATTTTTATTTTTTTTGCCAAATTTATTCAAATTTTTACACCTGTCTAATTTAGTACTGATTATTTTGTTATCGGAAAATTGTGCTAATGATATTTTTTTAAATTTGTCCTTATTATTTTGATAAATATATTGTATGAGAAATGATAATAACTTAACTTTTAGCTTTTCATATTCTCTCCTTAAGTATCTTTATTATATGATATCATTCATTTGCATTATTGATTATACGCTGATATACTTTATCATATATTGCTGATAATTCATTCATGCTTATCTCATTGACTTAAATCTTTTCTTATCATAGAGAATTTTTCACTACCTCATTTTTTTTTCTTCTTTTTGCCTTTTTTGCTATTATGAAATGATATGAGATGATATTTGTTATCATTTGAATAATACTCCCTTATCATTCTGCCAATGCATTTTCACTTTTCAACATTACAATTGAAATATTTCTTCCAAATATTTAAAACCATACCTTTGCCTTAATTTTGCTTGCATTATTTTTATTAATGACTTTTTCACAAGCAGCCAAAATTAATATATCACATTCTTCATAAATTAATTCGCTGTATGGTTCATATGCTTTAGCTCCAGGATAATCCTATAAAATTTTGGATGAAACATTTATTATTTATCGCGAACATTTAAATCATTTACATACAAAAACCGGAAAATCACTTTTGCCATCAAAATCAAAATTATCCTCTCACTAATTTAATTTCATATTTTGTTCGCATTTACTCAATTTTTACACCTATTTAATTTAGTAACTGATCTTCTTTCATAAAAATTCTTTCATAAAAAGATTCTTCTTTCATAAAAATTATTATATCATTGATTTGAGTACATAATATTTCTAACTTGTCATTATTATTATCATTTATTATTATA